GTATACAGCATATAGTGATAACCTTGGGGGAAAAAAAGAATGAAAGAAAGAAAAAGTTGGATGAACTTAAAATTAACCACTCTTGTGCAAACAAATATTATTAAGAGAATGACAAAACAAACCACAAAGCAAAATCTGTCTGTACTTTTTATAGCCAGTAAAAGTCATCTCTAGACTAGATGAAGAATCCTTGTAAGAAACAGCATTAAAAAGACAATACAATAAAAATGGGCAAGACACTCTAGTTGGCTTTTATGTCATGTTACTTTGCAACTAAAATTTAAAAGGGTGTTGCCAATTTTTAATTTTAGCCATTTTAAATAAAAGTCTGAGTTTTAATTGGAGTTTAGGTGAGGCAAAAACCTCACCTCTTTTAGCTTTTCTCCAGCTGGTTGGGCCTGATAGTTGAATTTATGTAAGACATATTAACAGGAGAAAAGCATACAAATTTAATTAATATAAGTTTTACATGACACAGGAGCTCCTATAAGAAAAGGAAAGTCCCAAAAAGCAGTCACAGTCAACCTCTTGTACTGAGTTAGACAAAGAATAGTTTAAGTCATGAAATTTGCTAAGTGATAGGGGCTTGGGCTAATGTAGCTAATTGGGTAGGGAAATGAGTAGGATATTATTAGCACTAAACAGTGTTTATACAGATTTTTCTTGGCTTCACCTTCTTGTCCTGGTAAGATGTTACTTTCTTTCCTTTTGGTATAGGGAGGCATCTTTAACATCTGCTCAAATTTTCATCTCCTATTCTTAAAAACCAAGATGATGTTCAGAATGATTTTCTTGTATCTGTTGTTTTAAGTGCCTTTAAATGATCAGTATGGAAAAGCATATTTTGGAGTAACATTCTTAAGTCCTGTAGACTATTTAGTATATTTTAATTGAATGTTTCTGATAATTAACTTTGACTACTACCTTTTCTTTTTTGGCACCGGGCATTGAACTCTGGACCTCGTGCTTGCAGGCAGGCGCCGGAACCACTGAGCTAAATCCCTGGCCCCTCTACTACCTTATTTTGTGCTTTCTGTTGTCCCACTTGTTCTGAATTGGGAACTCACTCTCGCTACTCCCACTCCCAATCTTTTGGATTTATTAAATAAAAGCATTACCCTCCTCTACATTGTTATTTATGTATTTTTTCACTTTTCATTTAGTAGCTACCTTAGAAATTATAACATATCTTGTTGCCTCATCAGTGTGTGTTAAATAATAATCTTAGCCTGGAATGCTTTAAGTTCATTTACTACCACCACCTCGTATGCCATTTTACCAAGTGCTGCAAAAATCCATTTAGATTTTAACACTATGTAACACTATTTTATCATCTTCATATATATTGAGGATTTTTTTCAGCTCTTCACTCCTTCCTATTCTAGTCCATCTTCCATATAGAATCATTTTCCTTCTTACAAGAAATTTAAATTTTTCATTAAGACAGTCTGTTGGGAACAAATTCTGTGAGTTTTCCTTTTTCTCTCCTCTTAAAATGCATTTTTCTTGTTTTATAAGTACTTTTCTTGGTATAGAATTCTAATTTGTAGTGGTTTTTGTTTTGTATTTTTGAAGAAGATACTATTCAATGTCTTCTGGCTCCCATAGTTTTCATTGATCTACTGTCAGCCTATTAATGCTACTTTAAAATAATGTGTTTGTTGTTGGTGTTTTTACCTTCTGGCTGCTTTTAATATTTTTATCTTTTATTTTTCAGGAGTTTTCTATGGTATGCCTAGGTGTACTTTTCTTTTTCCTACTGAGTTTCATAGAGTCTGTAGTTTGCTGTTTTCTTTTGGTTCTGGGAAATTCTGTCATCATCTCTTCAGATACTGTTTTTGCTCTATTCTGTTATCCCCTTAATGGAGATCGATTTATACGTATATAGGGCTTCATAAGATATCGTCTGTATTTTTGTCTCATTTGAACCTGTATTTCTGTCTTTGCTTTATTCTGAATATTTCTTCTGACATAGCTTTTATTTCACTAACACTTCACCTGTGTCTAATCTGATATTAAACCCATCTATATGTTCTTAATAATTGCATTATTAACTTTTGTAGAATTACTGGATTCTTTTTCAAAATTTTTGCAACTTTCCTCAGCCCTCCCAGGTTTCTAGTTCTCAGCCAAAATTCTCACTCTTATTTTATAATTTTATATTGACAGTAATCATGGTCATTTTAAAGTTTCTAATAACTCTACCATGTGACGCTTTTCTGAATAGTTGTGCTGCTCTTCATTTTTTAAATAAATTCGTCCAAATCTGTGAATTGCATTTTAAGTGCTGCATTGGCTGAATTCTCGATTTTTATATATACACATTTTCTTATTCACTTATTTTATCACTTCCATCTTTTTATATCCCATGGACTATTCAGATGTATGTGTTTTGGCTTCCAAATATATGATAACTTTGAAGCTAAATTTTTATCTAATTTCTAAATTTATTGCATCATGATCAGAGAGCTATTATATTAATGTGTATGCTTTTGTTTGTCTGCTTTTATATTTGCTGTGGTAACTCAAGATTTTCTCATTGCTTCTTATGAATGTCATCACAGTTTGCCTAGAGGTACCTTTTCTTATTTATCTTCCTTGAGACTCTGTGGACTTTTATAATTTGTGAATATTTATATTTATTTTTAGAAAGTTCTTGGAAATTACTCAGCTGTTACTCCCTATTTTTATATTCTTGTTAATTTCTGGAATTATTATTATATAGATATTAGAATATCTGCCATCTCTCTTTGATGTATCAACTCATATATTTTATCGTTTCATTCTTTTTGATATTCTGGGTCATTTCCTCAACTTGGGTTTTCTGTGTCAAGGAAGACAGTCATTCCTTAAGTCCACGGACTTGTGTTACAGTGTCAGAGGTAGACGCTCAAAGTTCCTTATCTTATACATTGCTTCTGTTGTGGTTTCTTATTAATCCAACACTTCCACTACCTATTTCTTACCTCCATATTTGAGATAAAATTTCTCCCCTTTTTTTGTCTTCTGTCCGTGAGACAAATATGCTTTATAAGTGTGTATGATAATATCTATAGATTTCAGATATATTTGCAGTCATACATATAGATATAATTATATATGTAATACAGTTTTTTCTGACATTACATTGTATATGTCATTTGGCAGCATGTTTTTTAATTATTTAAAAAAATTTATAGCAAATATCTATCCTTCTGTTTCATTCCATATATTATATTTGGATAAGTATGATTATATCCATAATTTACTTATTCCTCACCTTCTCTTCTGTCTACAACTCTTATCTAAATGCCTTTGAAAGTTTGCCTCTCAAGATTGATTCAAAAATATTTTCATAATAACTTAATAAGAGTAGGGAAAAATATTTCTCTAGAGATCAGATTTTTTTGCCTATAGTTAATTTTAAATTACAATTAGAAATACAAGAGATTTTTGTTTTTACTCACATATTTTTATGTCTTATATGCATGTCCTCTTCAGCACTTAAATTTCTCTGTTGGCATGTCTACAGTAAAGTAGACTGTGACTCATGCCTCTTATGGATACATAGTCCTCTATTCCTCTTGGTTTAATGGTCCCTCTCTAGATGTCCCGAAATCTGTCTGCCTGTCTGTGTCTCTCTTTGTTTTTTGTTGTTTTTTTTTTTGCACTTGCCAGGCAGGCATGGTGCCACTGAGGTAAATCCCCGTCCCCTAATGGCCTCTCTGCGTTGAATTTCCTGATGATTCTGTTACAAAGCCTTCACAGAATAGGTTATTTAAAAATTATCCTAGTCATGATTTATAAAAAACAACTGTGTTTTTCATTTGTAGAGCCAGCCTCCAAATTACATTTGGAAATATTAGATGCTTTTGTTGAGATGGTAGTTGGTGCTTTATGCAATCTTGATGTTTACTGTTTCCATTCTCCTTTGAAGGGAAAAATAGATAAGGAGCAAATGTTTATTATATTGAAGGAACTATCAAGTATTTCTTAAGTACCTAGACACAAATATATGATTTTTTAAAAATTCCTTAATTTTTAAAATGACATGGTATAAAAAGCATAATCGATAATACACAAGATTGATTTCACAATGATCCTTTATACTTTTTCTATAAAAGACAGAATACTTCCAGATGTTCTACACAATGAAATGGCATATAGGTTTTGATTATGACTACAGCAATGGTTTGTGTAATTTTAGTCTTCATTGCCAATGCTAACAATGCTTAAATGTGCATGTCACAGAAAATAAATGACCTTTGTCTTTATGCTTGTCAGAAGCATGCTGAATAGGATTCTTTGAAGTAACTTCATCTATTTTAGGTCCTCCCTTCAAGAGCATTTGAATCTCTCTTTAGAACCTGAGGGATTCTTTCCCTTTAAAAGCTATATTACAATATATTAATTGGTGGTTATTTGTATATATATCCTGTCGTCTTAAGGGATCCCATCACTTTGGGAAAGTGAAGCCCTTCCCTTTATTTGACCAGTTAGCCAGAAACATTCTCTTACACATAGAAAATGTGTTTAGGTTATCTTCCTCATTCCTTGCATATCCATTTGTTCTAATTGATTCTAGTTTTCTTAATCTAGTTGCATATTCTTTTCTTCTTGGATATTTTTTAATAGTCTAAATCATTGAGACATTCCTTCAAGCATACTTTTCTTCTTGTTCCCAAAGGTACCAAACAAGTATACCAGGAATCATTGATGAGGGGTAGGTCTAGGTTTGTAGTTCTTTCACTAACTAGCTTTGTCACCTTTTTACAGAATTTTTCATTTTAAGTAATCTGTAAAAAGAGTGCTTGATTAGTAAGTGATCTTTAGTGATCTTTTAGAAACATGTTAAACTATTTGTGCAATTTGATAAACAGGTATGAAAAATATCCAATGAGGAACTTAAGCAATATTTTTGCATTTGATATGATCAGCAATGGTTATTTGGGTGTGTTAAAATTTTTAAACTGTAAACAAATGGGACAGTTTGAAAGATTAAAAAGAGTTTTCTTTTATAGGTGTTTATTTTGTTCTGCTGTTTTCACGTGAAATCAAAATGCCAATAAAACCAGATCTCCAGGTATGTAGTTCTAGACCAAAAGCAATTACATTAAAACTTTGTATTGCTAGTAACTTGTTCTGCAAGTGCTCCGCAAGATGAGTAAACATTTCTAATAAATTTTAACTTGATAAATGAGCAATGTCTTGCAAGTAATGTGTGACACTGAACGTCACATGATCACAACTGAGCCAGTGGTTGGCCCCCAACTGTGGGATTTTGGGTGATTATCTCCCAACAGCAAGAGGTTATGAAAAAGATCTTCTGTGCAGACAAGGAGAAGAAATCCCTAACTTCAAAAGAGATTAAGGAGATGCATAAAATGTGGGAAACAGTGCAAAATTTTGTAGAAAAGTACCACTTGAATAAGGCTGTAGCAGTGTGAGCAATACATCTTTTTAACGACAATGCAGTAACATGTTTCTGCAGAATCCTCGAGAGGCAAAAGCAAGTATCACTGGATAGGTTCTTTGTTAAAGTTGCAAGAAAAGAAAAAGATTCTACTGAGCCAATAGATAGCAGTGATTCCATTAGTGATAGTGAAAGTTGTCCTAACAACCCTCCTCTCTCTGTCTCCCTCACACCCACCACCAAGGTTTTCAAAGGTAGATGCAGGTTAATTGTTTATTTTTATTTATATTTTGTATTTTATTATTTTCTATTACAGTATTGTTATCATTTTCATATGAATATTTTGGGGTTGTAGAATCATCTGACTTTCTATTATTTCTTATAGGGAAATTTGCTTTGATATATAAGTGCTTTGGATCACAAGCATGTTATCAGAATGAATTGTGCTCACAAACCAAGATTTTACTGTATTTTAATTTCTAAAATCTCCGTTTGTGTACTTACAGTGCATATCTATAGCAGTGACAAAGCTCACGTTTTTATAAAATGGTTGAATAGCTTAATTTAAAATAAAATGTCATATTTATTCAATAAATATTATTTCAAGAATTATATTTAAAATAGCAAGTATTAAAGATACTGGATCTACATATCTTTTACATTGAAAGATTTATGTACTGAATGTATTATACCCAATTTTTTAATTTCAACTGTTAAAATTGTAAGATATTTACATTTAGATAAAGGCTGAGTTTTTAAGTATCTGCTTAACATGTATGCAGTTAACCATTTAGTCTGCTCAGTGATCTAATTGTAGTCTGAAAATTCCTTATTACTGAAGTTTTACTTTAATACCCAGGATGGTAGGTTTTGTAAAAGTTATTACTATTACATAAGGGTGATGTTTAAGTTGTATTGGTTGAGATCATTTTTTAAAAGTGCTTTTGCCTTTCATGCAGTTTTCTTTACTAATTTAATCTTATTAAGTTGGTAGTCAGATATGCTAGGATTTTATCCATGGTATTAAGTAATAATTATTATAAAGTTAATTTTACTTTTCTCAAGTTTTTGTGGTGTTTTACATGATGACTTTAGCAATAAAAACATTAACTAGAAATAGTAATAATTTTTCCTATTTAGAGTTTTCTTATCAAAGAAACTTAATTTCCAACTCAATTACTTCAAATTTAATAGTGGATTTTTAAAAAAAATAAAACAAATTAATATTTTGTGAGCTAGCTTGACAGTTTTCATGTGAAAATAATTCCAAGATTGTATAAGGTAACCAATTTTGGTTTTGATTCGATATATGTGCCATTAACTGTATTTCTCTAGCAGTTGGAAAAATGCATTGATGATGCATTAAGGAAAAATGATTTCAAGGCTTTGAAAACACTTTTACAAATTGATATTTGTGAAGATGTGACGATTAGATGCAGCAAACAGTTTTTCCACAAGTTGGATGACCTTATGTCCAGGGTAAATATTCATTTTTATTGAATGGTTTTTCAAATATTTGAATTTTCTTTTCTAGAAAGAAGTATTCTGTTAGAAAAATGAACGGAAAGGATTGTACAAGCTTGGTTATAATTATATAAATAAGTACTTATTTTTTATTTTGTAGTGCTGAGGATTGAACTTGGGGCCTTTGTACTGAGCTACAGTCTCAGCCTTTATTTTTATTTGACACTAGGTCTTGCTAAGTCACAAAACTACCTGGTTGGGCTCCAACTTGGAAGCTTTTTGGCTGAGCCTCCCAGAGTGACCATTATTAAATATTGTTAACTAGGGGGAAAAGTTTATGTATTTGAAGTCTAAAAACTTGATCTGTATTTTAAAACCTGTCAGTATATTCTTGATGTGTGATATAGAAAATTTTTGGTGCTTTCAAAAGGAAAGCAAATTAACAAAAAATCATCCAACCATGGATTTGATTTCACCTGTCTAATGTCATTTTCACATTTCCGAGAAGGTGACTATAGTCAGTCTTCCCCAGTACCCAAGATTTGTGATGTCTTAAAGATCGAATACTGTTTCTTGGATTCATTAGTGTTAAATACATGGAACTCTTTGGAGTGAAAAGTATTTGATTCATTTTATCATAGTCTTAAGTTTCTTGAGTTTATGCAGATCTTCACTTTTGCCCTGAGTTTGTCATTCACACTGGCTGGGTGGTTTTGGGAAAATTGCTTTTTTGAACCATGTTTTCATCTTTTGCAGTACAGAAACAATAATAATGCCTATCTTCTAGATTTTGAGGAGTCTGAGATTTCCTATGTGTATAATGCTCTTAGCTCAGTGTTTATTTCATACTATTTGGGATTTGCAGAAATTTAAGTGCATACTTTTCATTTCAGGAACTTAATAAAAAGGATATTCAGACTATTTCAATCATTTTGGTTTCTATTGGAAAATGCGGCAAAAATATCAGCATATTAGGACAACCTGGACTTCCTACCATGATAAAACAAGGACTAGTCCAAAAGATAAGTATAGAATATATAACACATCCAGGCAAACAAAACATGATTAAAGATAAAATTTTCTCTTAAACTAAAAATGTTGAAATGTTGAAAAGTAAATTTGGTGACTTTATATAAAATGTGGAGAATAAAATAAACATTTTATATAATTTATGTTGTATGATACAAAGACAGAGATCACAAGGAAACTGTACAGTGTATGAGCTCCATGACAATCGTGTGAACTTAAGGTTATGAGACTTAGGCCTTTACGTGGCTTTGGTTTCTCTTTAGTTCTTGTTAATCATCAAGTGTCTCCTATGATAAAATACAGGATACTGATTTTTGTCTTTTTATTCATTGCTGTATAATCAGCACCTAGAACAGTGTCTGGTATACAGTATTTACTCACATATCTGAATTAATTAAGGCGAAATAATACTAAAACTTTTCAAATAATAAGGATATTAGAATAAATTGTGATGATAATTTGTTTTCATCTGTGATAGTCTCTCATTAAAAAACCAAAGGAGGAAATAAGGGTTCTCTACCTGGAATTAAGATTCATTTTATCCATTCCTGTCTTAAACATGAGAAAATATATAGTTAATTAACCCAAAAACAAAAAAAAGGAGGATGTCAAAAACTACAAATTTATTTTGATACAATATTGAAATTTTTACTTTTAACATCTCTTTGTTCTTAGGTTTGCCATTTATACAAGTATAGATAAATACATCTTAAAAATTACTAAAATGAATTTAAAGTAATAAATATTTACATTTCTTTTTTTTTTTACATGGTTGTATGGTTTGAAAAATCCAAGGAGATTATTCTAAGTCAAGGAAATTCAAAAGACGGCGCTGTTATAAATATGATAGAAGACTTATTTGATCTTTTTATGGTAAAAATCACATTGATTAACTGATGTTATAAAGCATGTGTTTATTTAGAAAACAATTTGTGTTCTTCCTTTCTTGAAACTTGAGTCATTAATAGATTAATTAGACTTGGCTGGATTAGTCTGTTCACATTGTGTTAAGCATTTATACTGGTTAATGTCGCTAATTAGATAATAACTAAAAGTTAAATATGCTATAAATTAAATATTGTCATTTTAATACCATATATGGTAATGGTTTATAGCAGAAATGATAAATTATAAATTATTCACTTTTTTAGGTCATACATGACGTCAGTGATGAAGGTAAAATAAACCTTTTATTTCTGTTAGAACAATAATTTGCTGTTAGACCTTTACTATAATTTTACAATTTCTGTAAGTCACAATATTAGGAACACATCTCATTCAGGGACCCAGAAACTTTTTTCCAAAAACTTTTTCTGTAAAGGACCAGCTAGTGAAATTTTAGACTTTATGGTTAAGAGAAAAAAATGAGAATATTATGTATGTACTTGTATCATAAGAAAGAAAACAAATTTCTGTAATGTTTTATTACTGAAATTAAGACTATAAAAATTGATTATAATTTTTTACAATACAGATTTACAGTGAGAATAACATTCTTTTTAAAAGGTAACATTTAACTTAGAGTTTAAAGTTAGTGTTTCAAAATTGATTACAGATGTTCATTTGTTACTGTTGATTTGTAAAGAGATCTTGTTTCTGCATGTCACAGTAGAGAATGTTTTTATGCAGAGAATATCAAATACTGTTATTTAGAAGTATTATTTTAATAGAGCATGTTGATCACTTAGAAGGCAGTGATCCAGTTCTGTTAGGTTTTGGTTAATGTCTCCCTTTTAAATGTCATTGCTTTATAGACTAATCACTTCCAATTGAAGGCTGTATGAAAGCACCTCAGTTCTGCAATTAAATGGAATTTGAAATATGAAAATTTCTTTGCACTCTCATCAAGGTCCAAAAAACACGGCTGGACCTCTGATTGGATCTTTAAAAATTATATGCCTTATAAATTTAAGTGGAAATAGAGATGTTGCCTCTTAGTTTAACTTTTCAAAGTTTTAAAACTGAAAAAAATCTTCAGAACATATAAAGCCACTTGGTATTACTTGCCACTCAGTAACCTTAGTTGTCATCAAAATGACTTTATTGAAGTACATAAGAACTGTGGGTTTCTTTGCTGTTATAATTTTGGGCTCAGTTCATTAACCAGCATTCTTAACTCTGCAACCAAAACTTAGTACTGGAGCTTTGCTGTTCAGTAATAATGATTGAGTACAGTTCTCATTCAGAAAAAAATTTTGTCTTGACCCTAAGTATCAAGGAGACATAAGATTTTACTGCTGCTAAGCCATTAGACTGCTGTATGATAGGGCGAGTAGAATATCCAACTTCTATTTCTAATAAAAATTCTGTTAACGGACAATGGCTGAGTTTATGAGAGTGAATGAAGTTCATCTTTGGCACTGCTGGTTTAATTAAAAGTGAGAGATTGAATATGCTCCACGTAGGACTTACTGACAGTTATTACAGCTAAACAAACAGAATGGCAGCAAATTTAGTTTGTATGACATAGTTTGCCAACCTCTGATCTAATGAAAAAAATTTTCAATAGTATATGGAAAATGCAGAGCACATCACAACTAACTCATCCTTTCACTTATGGCTAGCAAGAGTCTTATGCCAAGCAATCAATTTCAAGTTATTTTATCATTTTTTGTGGGTTGAAGATTGGTAATTGGGGCCTAATGTATTATTTTTGATGCTATTTGTTATCTTCAAAGCCAACAAACTTTTAGATGAATTATTGTTGATTTAAATAATAGTGCTGCCTTTCCATTGATTTGATTTTTTATAATTAAGGTAAAAATCTAGTCTAAATTCTTAAGTTTTTAGAGAAGAAAACAGCCCTAAACCACCAGCAATTATAAAGAAATCCATCTGATTTTTAAAGTAAATAATATATTTTCATCTCAGTTTTTTCAATATAGTCATGTTGGAAAGTTGCACATTTGATGTTACAGTATTACTTTAAATGTGCATTATGAAATAGCATGTAGAACTTCCTCTATCTCTGAATATATTCAGTATTGATAGTGTCATCTTTTGAAATGGATTATAGCTCAAATCATTTCCATGCTCATGAAGGAAAGGTATGTTGACAGTCTTTTTTTAAGTACAAGAATTTTTGAGGTATGAGTAAAAATTAATGATGCCAGTTTTCCAAAACGCCTCAAAATTCAAAATAGAAACTTATAATTTTGAGCTATATTTCCTTATGTGCCTGAAATGAGAAGCTAGATCTGGGTTTATTTTATGTTTCCTGATGCTCTGGCCAGTAGGCCTTCTTCAAAACTATACTAGTATAGCCGTTCTTTGAACTCAGAAAAAAGACTGTCTTTTAAAAGGATGTATAGGGCTGGGGATTTAGCTCAGTGGTTTCGCCGCCTGCTGCACAAGCGCAAGGACCCGAGTTCAGTCCCTGGTGTCAAAAATAAAAAATAAAAATAAAAATAAAAAAATAAAAAGATGTATAATTAACATGTATTAATAACACTTTTATTCAGGTAAAAGGCAAATAGTGAAAAATTTCATACCTCGAATTTGTGCCTTGGTTATTGATTCAAGAGTGAATATTTGTTTTCAGCAGGAGGTAAAATCATTTGACTGTCTTTTAAAAACCTAAAAATAAGAAAGTGAAGAAAATGTGATAGTAATTCACCAAATTAAGAAATTATTTTATCTTGGACTAAATTAATTTTTTGGAATGTATTTCTGTTGTCTTAATAATTCATTATAAGACCATATTTCCTATTTAAAATTTGTGATCATATGGGTTTGTGTATGCCTAAAACTCATGAAAATAAATTACACTAACTGGCTATTAGGGATTGTTAAGTATTTAAATGTCAAAAATAACCTATATTTATGTATATATGTATATACATATAACCATAAGAATAAAAATAAAGTAACTTTTTGGCCCCCATAGATCTTAAAGTAGAGTAATAATAAATGTCTCATTTTGCAAAGAGTTTTAAGTATGAGTCACGTTATGTTCTATTTTTGATCTTTTAGTTTATGCTGTTTAATATTGACTGCTTTTATATATATGCAAAAAATATATACTTTATATCCTTTCCTACACCCAAGTCCATTCCCTGCATAAAATGTAGTGATTAGGAACAAATTAGGCTACTAAGCTTATGTGCCTAAATACTTAAATGTTTTACAGAATATAAAATTAATTCATTATCTTATTTTTTCTTTTCTAGACTTTAAAAAAAATGAATGCTATGCTTGAAAACATGTCTCAAGATGCCAGGAAAATACTTTCTAACCAAGAAATGTTAACTCTCATGTAATAATTTGTACTATATTTTATTAGTTGTTAAGGAATTTAAAGAATGTTTTATAAGACAACCATGAATATGCATTAAAAATTGAAACTTCTAAGCTTTGTTTTTTAATATAATTATACATTTCTGCAAAAGTTAGTTATACTACCTAGTTGTAAATTTCAGTGACTCATCCCAGCCTAAACTCATGGGCTTTCTATTTAATTGATACTAGTTCAGTATAAAATCTGTTTTTTTGATTCACAGGAGTAGTATGGGAGAAAGGATTTTAGATGCTGGAGGTAAGTATGTCTTTTCAAGATTTGGAATTATTAAAAAAAAAGATTTGTAATTATTTCAGATTTATGACTAGTGTATAATATCCCTTTAATAAAAATGATGTTAGTATTGCACTGTGATGAGATGACTTGAAGGAATTAAATTGTTGAGTACAATCAAGCAATTTTTAAATTACTTTAATATAAATAAATAAGCTCAAAAAGAAGTATATTTGGGACAAAATAATTTGTCATGACAATAAGAGTTAGATAAATACAATTTTTCCTAATGGTTTATAAATATTAACTTAATTTTCAAATAGATCTGACTTACTTGTGCTCTGATATTCCTCAAATGGTATTTTATGAAATTAGGGTATCTAATATCCTTAGGATTGCCAGACTTTTTTAAACAATATGTTTACTAAACTTAAATGTTCTTTCTTAGGTATTTTATGAGAAAATTTTGATGTAATGATTTATGTATAGAATAAAGCATGATTTAAAATACCCTGAGATAACTGTAAACATCATGTACAAAAGAAATTTAAAGATTATATGATTTATGTGTGTTATTTTGCAAATTTCACCTCTAATAATGAGAGTAGAGTCTTTGAATATTTAAGAATTTCTTTTAAATTTTATTTTAAATTTCACTTTTTTCTATTAGTAAACTTGTTTTTTGTTATTTGGCATGGATTAAATCCTATAATGATATTTCTAATTCATATGAAGAAAACAGTAAAAGATAAGTATTTTTTTATTTGTCTTATTCTCATACCTTACAAAATGTATGGACTTTTATAAACTTTCATAATTTCAAATCATACATTGATTAATAATTTTTTAATAGATTATGACTTGCAGGTAGGCATTGTGGAAGCTTTATGTAGAATGACCACAGAAAAACAAAGACAACAACTGGCACATCAGTGGTTTTCAATGGATTTTATTGCTAATGCATTTAAAGAAATTAAAGACTGTGAATTTGAAACAGTAAGTGGTATAAAAATAACAGAAATTAACAAAATTTTTAATTGAGTCTGTAATTTAAAGTCTTTCTTTTTAAAATTAGGATTGCAGGATATTTCTCAACCTTGTAAATGGCATGCTTGGAGATATGAGAAGGTAAACGTACAACCATTTACTAATAAACACAGCTCAAAGAAAGCATCCAGTGTAGAACTTTTAAAAGTGTAACTATTTGTTCTGTTATCTTAGAGTGTAAAGTATGCTTGAATATTTAATTTAAAACAATATTTTATATAACATTGTTCAGTAAATTACTACACTGGTATTCTAAAATAATCTACTCGTGGCCTTATTTTGCTTTGCAATCTGTAGAGGAAAAATGCATTTTCGTTTAATTCATATTAATAGTTTTGAATGTCCAAATTTGATTTACTGTATTCATAATTGCATATATATTAGTATTTGATAAATGATTGAAAAATATACACATGTATTTCTTGAACTATCTCCATTTACATACTGTAATGAAAATATATACCAGGGCCGGAGATTTAGCTCAGTGGTATTGTACCTGCCTTGCAAGCACAAGGTCCTGAGTTGGATCCTCAGTACCAAAAAAAAAAAGCTATATATATAAATACACCCCCCCCCAAAATAAGTTGTCTTCCTTTATAATTAGCATATTTTGAGTAGGATTTTTCTGAGGTTACCTAGTCTTAGGAATGAGCACAAAAGGGTATATAATAGATGTTCTGGATGAATGAGTTTATATTTATTTTACTTACTAAGAAAATGAAAGGTAGGATGTTAAGTACAAGGAGTCGTATTGCCTGGATTTGAATCATAAATTCTCCTATCCTTTGAGCAGAGTTTTTTTATTTTTATTTTTATTTTGTTTTTGGTACCGAGGATCGAACTCGGGTCCTTGTGCCTGCGCAGCAGGGGGCGAAACCACTGAGCTAAATCCCCAGCCCTATGAGCAGAGTTTTTAACCTTACTTGTCTCTGTTTCCTCAGCTGTACTGTAAGAATACTAATATCTACCTCATATGTTTGTTGTAAAGATTAAATGAAATAGTATCTGACCATGAAATAATTCTAAGAATTTAGCCATTTTTATTAGAATTCTTCACTTATATTATTTTCCTAATTTCTAATGGACACTTCCATTGTATTAAGATTATAAGCGATATCTGCTCACATTTGTTACTACACACAAAGTATGGTGTAATTAGTCAAAAGGATAGGTTACATAGTATCCTCAAAATAATACGCTTTTCTCTACCTGAACATAATTTCATTAAACACTTTTTTAAAAATAAAATGATTTATTTAAAAAAATTATGACTGCTGCTCGATTTCTCTTTGATTCTAGGCATGATTTTTATGACTAAACATGCTGTGAAAGCTTAATTAATCTTTTAAACAACTTTGTATTTTAGGGTCTTTACATTTCCTTGTTTGTCAGCATTTCTTGATAAATATGAGGTAAGTTTAAAATTTAACATTTTAGTTATAGGATGAATTTTGATGCAAAGACACATTAGGGTTACAATTGATAAAAACATAAAAATGGTTATAATTAGATCATGAGTACAACTGACCTAGTATGCTGTATATGCCAGTGAAACCATGAAAAATTCTATTAATCAGCGTATTTATAACCAAGAATACCTGAAATGCAAAGGTTGTAGCTCTTCAGATTTCCTCCTCTTTCCTTAAGTCCATTATTGATTTATCACTCATGAATACCTTTGCACTAATATTTTCAAATTCTTGTTAGCACTTGGAATATTTGTGATTTCTTAAAGCTAGCTGATTTCTTTATAAGGTATTGAAATATCATTTCCTTAGATTGTTTCTAAATATATCTAAATGTTCTACTTGTCTACTCTCTTCACCTAGCTATACTTGTTTTTTTTTAAAAAAAGATTTAGGAAACACTATATCTTATGGAATATAGTGTTTCTGGATTCTAGTGTTAAAAATGAAGCCAATTAAGATATCAAAGATTGACCATTAGTACAACCTCATCATAATATTCTGTTATTTTTATAAACATACTATATAGTAGTTTTACATGTTTATTTTCTTAGCTGCAAATACCATCGGATGAAAAACTTGAAGACTTTTGGATTGATTTTAATCTTGGGAGCCAGACTCTGTCATTCTACATTGCTGGAGATGATGTAAGCTTTATTCTTCTGTACATGTATTTATGTATTTTAAAAAACTTTAAATTCACTTTAAGAATGTAGGCTTCTTTGTATATTTATTCTTCTAGTAATTCCTTTAATTTTGTTAGTTCTTGCTGTTTTCACTAGCATAGTAACCAAGCAAACTAATTAGAAATGTAAATTGTTTCTGATACTTTTGTTGAACAAAAGTTAATGCTAAATTTTAATACTAATTTTAATGAGCTTTTGAGAAATAAATTATGTTAAGGATATAAAATTTTACATTCATGCGAACAGAGTTCATTGACTTTAGAAAAAGACAGCATCAGGGACAGGGAGGCTCAGTGGTAGAGTGGGAGACTGCCTGCTTATTGTGTGCAAGGCACTGGGTTTGATCTCCAGCACCACATTTAAAAAAAATTAAAAAGATACTCATTACTTAAATAGTGTATAGAGGTACTCTAGTAAAACTAACATGAATGAATAAAGCCATTTATCATTATCTTTTAGTCTTCTCTTTTAAAATAGGGATTGATTTATGGATTGCATTTGGAAGTGAATTTTAGTTCACTAAATTTTGCTTATATGATTATATTATATGCTTAAATGCTATATACTTACACTAAATTATGCTTATATGATTATGCTATATCATATCTGTATTTAAACCTTCTGAACATAGACCATATTAACCTCTTTTTTATCTGAGGAAAATCTTTGAACCTTTACTTTGTGATAGCTAACACTCTTATTTGGTACATTGACGTATTTCTAGCTTGAACGGTATAGTCACTTTACCAAATCCTGAATGAGACTTTATAGCATTTACTAAATTAATTGTAGCTAGTGATATTTTAGCCTTATTAGTGTGTTTCTTATAGAATATTGCTCTTTGTATAAAGGTAAACTTTATCAGAGAAATTAGCCAAATACTTAGGATTTCCACATACTTTCAAGTTTTATTTTTAGTACTTTCTTAAAATGCTTATATTAAAATCTATTTCTGTGAACTTGTACTGTTTCTCTGGGGCATGATAGTTTTCATTAGTATGCTTCTCCTTGATGGTTTATTAGGAGTATTATTAACTGAATTTTCTTTGAGAAATAGGAATTTTATTTTTATGAAAAGACAGGATTATTGCTTGCCTTCATTCATTGGACTGTTGACTGATTTAGATCAGAAAATAGCCAAAAATATAGCATTATACATGTGAGGGAAAGCATAAAATGCATTTATGAATTATGTTCTAGGTAGTGATTAAGATGCTGAGGGATTTGTCTTCCCAAAAATGTATTTCAGATCCTTTCTGTGTTCTCCTTGTATTCCCTCTTGTTCTACCTGGAAGTAATTCTGTGTATAATAGCAGCTTAAACTCTTGTTTTGTTTGTTTGATATGGTCTACAAGGCTTTATATGCCCAGGCCCTGGTAGTTTCTCTGAAAATCTTCTATCATTCTCTGTGCTGAGGCTATCATCTCTTTTCCTCTGAAAGATCATGTCCATCTCAAGTTTTACTGTTTCCTGGTTTGTCAGCCTACAACACCTCCTTTAGATCCTTGCATGTTAATTCCTTCCTATTTAGGTTATACCGTAAATATTACTGTCTTCTCCAGTCACTCAATGTGATGTAGCTTTACAGCCACATAATATTACATTGCCCTGTTTTATTTCCTGTGTAATAGTTGTTGCTATTTAAAATTATTTTGTTTGTTGTCTCTTTCTCCCATGGCATATGATATTCATGGAATTAGGACCTGATTTTTCTTGTTTATAGCTATTCAAGGGCTCATATTTGTTGCAAGAATGAATAAATAGAATGTTGAAAGATGCATGTTCAGTGCATACAGTTCATGGGACATTGGAAAAAATAAGGCAGTGTAGAGCCAATGAATGAGTATAAGAGGTAACATCAATGGATATTAAGAACTTAACTAGGTGTCACAAACATACTAGGCACTGGGGAACACATTCATGTAAAAGATACTCTCTGGCTGTGGGGATAAATTTAAAAGAGACAAGACTACAAGCAGTTGGGAGGCTTTTGTAATAATACATATGAGAAATCACAGTGACTACAGTTGGGATAAGTGGAAATGAATGAATTGCAAAAAACTAGAAAGGAGGTAGAATTGGACAACTTGATTTGTTGTAGTAAAAAGGGATTAATAAAACTTAGGTAACTAAGTTACCTGGCTAGAGATGCTGTCACAGAAGGATACATTTTATAGGAGAAGGATAAGAAGTTTAGCTTTAGGTATTAAGTTGGAGACATTTATGGACTATTTTGCTGAAGATACCTGGTAGGCAGTTGGATATATTGGTTTCATACTCAGAAGAACTGAGCCACAAGTAGTATAGAAGCTATTTATGTACAGATGATATGTAAACCATAGAATTTAATGAATGCCTTTATGAAACAACCTCAAAAACATGTATTTCTATAGTATAGATAGAAGAAACTCTAGCAAAAAGGATATTTGAGAAATAAGCTGAAATAAAACAAAAGAGAGTGTATAGTATTGTATAAGTCAAGGCAAAGGAGTTTTTTTTAAAGAAAACATTGTGAAATATTTCTAGGGTGTTAAAGTTAAAACGTGTCACATGAAAGAGTAGGGTCAGTTAAATGATGAAAGTATAGATATTTCTGAAAAGTTGAAATCTTTGTTGAGAAGTAGTCAAGTCAAGGGAAAGAGCAGGGTAATAGAGGTAAAATAGATGTGAGAAAAAGGGAATATTTAAGAAAACTGAGGGCAAGGAAAAGCCAAATAATTGTGGGAAAATTGAATACATAACAATAAAAATATGATTTCTACTAATTTTTTTTATTTTAAAATGTCTACAATAGTAAACAAAATCCTGAAACAGTTAACAAGTTACCTCAGTATATGAAGAAGAAAGAGTCACTTAGAAGTTGGATATGACAGATATGATAGTGTAGAGTATGACACTTGGCATGTATCTCAAAGCAGAAAAATTTTTGTGTGTTTGTTTTTACACAGAGATACCAGGCTGCTCAAAACTTTGGAGAGAGAGGAGAATGCCAGCACTTTTCTCTTGACCCTGAGGTTTTGAGATGTGGCAAAATTAGCACCCAAGTTGGGGAAAGATAGAAAGGTAGTGATGCCCTCAGGGTATGAATGATTTCAACAAGAAAAAAAAGTGGAAGGGATTAGTGAAAAGATTAAGGATTTAGAGGAATATCTATAGAATGAATTGTCCTAAAATAACAAAAGAATTGGTTGTTTTTCTTCACAAAATTACTAGAAGGCTTTAGGGTCCCGTTTTTCCATGACTGGTATCTAATTTCTACCAATAACTCTTCGAATTCAATATTATTTTAATCAGTAATACAGATTTCAGTGAAAATAGTTGGAAAGGCAAACATTTTTGATTATTATTCATGTGCATTCAGTATTTGACTCTTAAGGATAATCAGTGATGAGTGTTCTAATTTCAGAACCTGTGATAAGTAGTAGAAGTGGGAACTAGGGAGTGACAATGGCTTTACAATATTTCAAAGGAAAAGAAAGTAGCATTTTTTTTTAAAAAAAGCATTACCCAGGGAAAGACCCAACCCAAAAAGAGAACTACAGGCCAATCTCCCTAATGAACATAGATGCAAAAATCCTCAACAAGATACTGGAAAACAGAATATA